TTATTTCCTCCAAAGTTTTCTTCACAAATCATCAAGATTAGCAGCTGAATGAGAATTTCTCTGTAGAGCATCTGGTTCATCTGCTACCAGTTTCTCTATTAAAAGACAGTCCTTGAGCAGTTTGTTCAGATTGGTATTTTCACGTCTGGCAAACATGAATGAATATTCCTGTTTTTTCATGAAGCACAAACAGTTCAGCCACTTGTCCAGCCACACCTCATGAAATGCATGCACTGCAGAGCCACGTTCCCCTCTGTGAGGCAGCTGCAGAAATAGATATTGCAGACTACTGTGATCAGAAATTTAATCCCCAGTGCTCTATAGTTCAGGCCAGCAGAAAAGCTCTGGCATTCCAGCAAGACGACCTCTCATGGGGGTTCTTGGCCACCTCAGGAGCCCTTCCAGCCCAGTATGTGTTCTCTTACACCTTCTTACTGCATCTCTAAAACCTTTAGTCAGGTACTCACATAATTGTGAGGGGCTCACAGTGTCCTGACTCAGCCCTTGTAAGCTACATGTTAACTGAATCCTTCACAGCTCAGTAACATTTATCCAAAGTTGTAGCTTACTTTCGACACGCACAAAACCCTGTGCAGAGTATTTCTGATGTAACTGTTGTAATGCTCATTTCATGTTTTCTCTTCCTTCAGGCCAAACAGCTGCTTCTTCTTCCATACTTAATGCTTGTCCTTAACACAGAGCAGTACTGCAAACTGCAGTACGGAAATACAAGTCAGATCGTAGAGACAACATCAGGAAAAGCAAACACAGGAAGGCAGAGAGCTGGAAATCACGGAGCACGACAGAGCAGAGGGTCTGAAATGCAGGGAGAGGTGATGCTGTCTGTGCTTGAGATGAGTCTCTTAGAAAGGGCTAGGAGTGATACTGAGAACCCCCCGAGAACCATGAGGTACCTGCTGCTGCCAGGTGTGAGGGAAGAGGAGGCACAGGACTGTGGGAGCTCTGGCAGCTTCCGTGAGTGTGGTCAGCAGCCCTTGACTTGCCACTGCCTGGAGAGGGTGATGCTCCCACCCTTTAGCTGGTGCTAGGGAGAGCCCTGTGTCACATCTTGTTGGATCAGAGGGAGTGCCTGGGGCCTCTCATGCACCTTTCCTGCTGTGCTGCCATTGGAGAGCTGAGGAATTGTTGCTAAGCAGAGGAGTGATGAAGTCAGCAGCCTGTGCAGCATCGGGGAGAGACAGGAACCCCTCAGGCCCTACAGCCTCTGAAGCCCTGGGGCCCCACCACAGTGCAGACCTGGGCAGTCTGTCACTGGCAGAACCACAACTGGAATACCCCCAAAGGCAGGACTGGAAACTGATGGCTTACAGCACTGCACGCCAGGCTCCTCTCACAGGGCAGCTGGTGCAGCAGAGCTCCAGTTCCAAGGCAGTCTCATAGGCCCTGCAGTAGAATCTTCTGTACTCATTCCAAAATTGAGTTTAATCCGAGGCAACAGAAATAACACACCAAAAATACACTTCCTCTCCGAAAAAGTGCCTTCAGTCAGAAAAGCACAAGCTGGACCCAGTGCTCCCAGGTGCTCGATGAAACAGTAAACTGTTGAGTTATGAAATAATGTCCAAGCAGGGAACAGATTAAAGAAAATCTATTAAATAAGGAGGGACCCAAAACTCCAGGGCCATAACCTGTTATAGTTAGAATCAGTTTTCTGTGTGCAGGAAGCAGGAAGTCAAGTGGTGATAGTGATATGCCAGAGCCACATACACAAGGGAAAACCACTTACCCGTTTGTGTTACTACATTGTTGTGTTTCCAAGAACACTGGATGTAAGCCTGGATTTGGCTCTCCTGTGACATTCTGTGCATAGCTGTTCAATTTCTTTACAACATAACCTTCATACACCTCTTGAGACCTCTCTCAAGATGCTTAATTCTAACCCCACTCCCTGAGCTAGGCACTCTTTGCTGTCAGAATTGCTGAGCTCGCAGCTCACATCCTCTCTCTCTGACAGGAGCCACTCTGCCATAGCTGATTCCACTGCAAGCCTGGAGTTACTCACAGTGCTCTTTACTGAGATTAACCCAGTCCCACAGTGAAATCACCTACCACAGACCCCTGGGCACTGAGCTGCACAAATCAGACTTCACTAATGAATTCTGATAGAGTCCTGAGGTCTACAGAAACTGCAGGAGAATAACATTATGGAGAATTTCCTACTGCTTAAATAAGTCGATTTCACACAGCTTTAAAGAGCATTAGTTTATTATCTATTCTCCATGTGTTACCTCAGAAACAGTCTAATTATATACAAAAATTTGGAATGTTGAATAAATGCTGATCAATAGAAACATCACATAGCTGTTGACAAGGGAGTATTTTCTAAACAAAACCAAAATGATCGTAAATGTTTGATTCTGTGTGTTGGTTATTGCTGTGTTTGTGTTCATAGAATGCTTTCAAGTATATACACTTTCTTTTAAACTCCAGTCCAAAAAAAAAGAAACTAAAAAATATTTACATAATAAATATGTGGGAGACTTCATCTTTCCATTACATCACTTGAACTGATCCTTTAAGGAGCTCTTAAGGAGTTTGCACCAACTCAATGCCATGCTGGGTGACTTGGGCTGCTAATGGGTCTTTATTCAAAATGTGGTTTCAGATGCCTTTGAAATGAGAAGCATTGGTGTTGTCTCTCCCTCATGCTGAATCCTAGCTGGACTCGCTCAGGAGACACCTTTCCCCCACTCTCCCCAAAATCACTTCACCTGACACATGTTCACCTTTGCACACTGACAGAACGAACACGTTGCAACCCACTGAAAACTCAAACATTTACTGAGTAAAATCAGCATAATCCATGTTTTATTAGACGGTTAATTTGTTAACTGACGGAAGACAAGCTTTGGCCAAAGTATTTCCACAAGAAGTACTAAACTTCTTGCTATAAACCTCTACTTATATAAGTTCTACCACAGCCGAACAGTTTTTGGTAGAATTTTCCTGTGATACATAAATCTGAAAATTAAGTGACACAACAACATTTAAAACTTCTGTTACCATTAAAGCAAAATACAATACAGTAATAATTTTTCAGTGATATATTTAAACATACTGCAAAATGTATACAAAGTCAGTCCAAGATCAGTAAAGAATCAGTTCTGCTTTTTGGACTCTTCCCTTCTCAAAGATGCAGGTTTTGTAGAAGACCAAGATGATCTAGGACTTGTCTGTATGTATCCCCTTTAAAAAGGCAGTGTGTGATAAAAACAACATGATTAAAAGCAATGAACATGTGAACAATAAAAAAATAGAAACTAAACAACAACTAAACACATCTTG